TACACAGGCATATCCCCGCTCAGCTCGGCGATCCCATAATCTCCAGGTACATATATTAAGTAGATCTTGCTGAAGACGTTGAAAAAGAACAAACTAAAACAGGCCTAATTCTCTTGCGGGTTCCGTCCGGGCTGCGTGGAGGAGCGAAGCCTCCTGGAAACCGTTCAAGCCTGCGAGCAGCGGGCGAACCACTCGGGTGCTTTTAGCGGGATTAGTTTCTCAAAAGAGGAGTTTGTTAACCTACTGCTCTTAGTCTGACAGAGAGGGCGGAAGCGAGGTTCTGATTTGCAAATCCAGGATGAAATCATTTTAAAAAATGGTCTCACGCAGTTGGGTGTGTAAGAAAAACTTCACTTGTCAAAGGCACGAATAACAGTTTATAAAAGTGGATGTGATTTTGCTTCAACAATAAATAGTTGCTTTGCCATTTTAACAGCATTATTAGCTCACCCCACTTGCAGAACAGAGCCACCTATTATGCAAACTGCCCCTGTGTGCACAGGGAGGCTTCGGTGGCTTATGTCCACAAACAAAATCCCCTTCAATCCTTTAAACACTGTCAAAGATGACAAGGAACAAGTTGGTGGATGGAGCTGTGGCCAATGCGGCAGCGTGTCCACAAAGTAAAAACTAAATGATTTAAAGTTCCCCTGAATACTGTTAAACAATATTTTGTTTACCAGCCACCAATACAAATATACAACATTCATTAGGATTTATTTTATTTTCTTATCAAAAACAACAAAGAATAGTAAAAAGTTTCTTATTGAGGATAAAAAGAAAACAGTACGGTTAACTTCCCAAACGCGTGGGCTCTTTACAACTCAAATCTTTGCAAACTTGCACACGACAGACAGAAACAAAGCTGAAGTGCTTTCAAGCACCCATTTGGTGTACAACTTATGATTATCAACAGAAATTTGCTGTGTTTGACGCAGTAATACAGTTATGATTTCTTTAAAATTTAAACAGAAAAAAAACTCCACAAAGTGTGTGCATGGTTGTATCGGTGTGCGTGAATGAATGAAGCCAATGATTGGTTGCGTATTAGCCATCCTGCTGCTGTACGAAAGGGTTCGGTATAGCCTCCATGCCGTCCTGCGGACAGATTAGCACAACGGAGGTTCCTCTGCAGACCACCAGACCCAGCTGCCTGGTGTCTTCTGTCAGCTTCAGCTGGTCATCTGGGTCTGGATGGATTAAGGTTAAAGAGACAAAAGAATCACATTTTTACACGTGGATGTGAAGAGCAATTTAAACAAACCCCTTTAAACATTTAAAAGAGGGTGCCCCCGTAGTTTTAGACCACTACTAACGTACCTAACTAACCCTACCGAGGAATCACTTCATATACATCTGTGTGTCCTCGCTTTTAGCTCTTCTCGTTTCAAGGTAAGAAGCCAGAGGAATGAGGAGACAAGGAAGCACGATATTAAGAAATGAGAGGAGACCCCTTTGTTCAACCTGCGCCTGTAGAAATACAAATAAGTCTGCACCATTTACCTCCCCTTTATTATAAAATAACACTTCTCAAAATGAATCTGGTGACAAAACGTTGACACGTGAAGCAAGCATACAGCAATGTAATCATTGCTTGATTTTGGTTTCAGGCTGTGAGAATTCTCAAGCAAATGGGACTTCTATTTGTATTATGGCCACTAAACGGTATAGTTAAAATATCAGGTTCAACCAAATAAAAGGTTTAATATCTTTCTTGTTAGCACATACATGAAACAAATTAAGTTAAATCTAGACTTGTCCGTGGGTCTTTATTTTCTACCAGTCCTCGACATCACTTCATGTCTTTTCCTTTATTTTACTTTACAATGTGTCCGTTGGAGTGGAAGTTCCACAGTGTCCTGTCGGCGCAGATAAGTTGTTGTTTTGGTTTATTCAGCTATAAATTAACGTCACGTCTCCCGAACACCTGCTCGAGTTTATATGGCCAATTTGACTTACCACGCATGTACTCGATAGTACCATCCAGTACCAGGTTCAGCAGAGGATCAAACCCCTTCAGGACACCGCTGGCTGAGGGTTAACGACACAGAATAAAGCTCTCATTAGCCAGGCAATCCACAACAGTACCCAAACGACGCGAAGTCTGATTTGCTCAATGCTAACTCAGTTAGCATTGACGGTAGCTTGCTATCTTCGGGACTAGTCGATTTACCCTCTCGTCCTCCTTGAAACTTCACACGAATTGGCTTGTCGATGTATTTTGACAAGTCGAAGATGCTCTCCTTTTTCTTCTTTTCTTTATCCTGCACAGAGCAAATGGACATTGATTGGTAATTGACGATGAAAGCTCGTCGCAAACAAACACGGACTCAGAGGTTAGCTTCGCTCGGCTAGCCGAGTTAGCAAACGGAAGAGCTAAAGCCACGTTCATTTCGAGTACTTCTCGGACGTCATATTCGGAATAAACATAACGGACTCAAGGGAGCCATCGTTTTACTATTCGTACCCAACGTGTACGGGCGCAACATTTAAAATGTGTTTGAATGAAAGCTGAAGCCATATGAACTCACCGCCATGTTTGCTGTGTGACACGGAAGTGAAACTGTGACCCCAGAAGTATTCCACCAATCAAATCCACGAGCGTCTGTAGCTGACGTCACTCGGTTGTTCTAGTATTATTCATTTGCCAAGAGTAAAAATGATCACAGTTTAATAATCAGACAATTATTGCTTAATGATACATTTCTGACTCTATGTTGTAATCAGCATCTGTCTCTCACGCTGACCTCCTTTTCCTTGTTGCTTTTAGCCAGCATTCAGTCAGGGGGGGACGTCTATTAATACCACCAGTTGGTGTGTTGTAAACTAGAAGGAGAAGGAGGAAATGTCCAGAAGACGTTTGGTGTGTCGGTGAAATGGCGTGCTTTGCCGACGCAGAGCTGAAATCTTAGAGCTTTAAATACACCGTCATGACTGAAAAGATAAACAAACCCGAGGAGGAAAAATCTGCCTGGCATATGGCAGACTCCAACTCTGCGCCTGTTCTTATCCCCGATTCTATTCTACAAGTAGAAGGAGAGAGTTTTTATGTCAACCGTCAACAGCTGGCTCGCCAGAGTCCCTACTTCAGGGCTCTGTTTTTTGGCGGCGGCCTCGAGAGCAGCAAAAGGAAAGTTGAGATCAAAGGTGTGAGTCTGCAGCATTTCAAGGTCTTGATGGAACACAGCAAGAAATCCAATCTAGCTCTGGAGAGGGAAAACGTTCTTGGGATTCTTGAGACCGCAGACTTTTTACAACTGGATCACGCCAGGCTTTTGTGCTGTAAGTTCCTGGAGCGTGAGCTGCACCTCAGCAACTGTCTGGGAATGATGGCCTTCGCCTGGCAGCGGGGCTGCGCTCAGCTGTACACTGCAGCTCGGCAGGTTGCGCTCACACATTTCTCTGCTATTGTCGCCGAAGAGGATTTCCTATCGCTGTCTAAGGAGACTGTTGCCGACCTTCTCGCCAGTGATGACCTTGCCATCCACAAAGATGATCTGGCCGTAGATGCCACCCTACGCTGGGTGTCATTTGATTCAAAGCGAGAGGAACATTTTCTGGAGCTCATTCAGCTGGTGAGGCCAGAGTCGCTCTCTTTACCATTTATTACTGAACTTTTGAGCAAAATGAACAGCTCTGACCCCAGAGGCAAGCTCATCTGCACGCTGAATGAACACTTCCCGACATCTTGGTCAATGGGCAGATCGATGACGAGGACCAGGGCCAGAGAGACCCTCTTCGTCCTGGGTGGACCTCATAATGAGGAAGAGCAGTCACTGTACCAATTTCACCCACTCAGTGGTAGATGGCAGAGCTGCGCCCCTCTGCAGAGGAAGAACCTAACCCAGTACTCGGTAGCTGCGTTAGGTAATGATGGATTTGATTGGTAGAAATGAATTTATTCCTCATGGGAAGTGTTTACATGATGATGCATCTAAATCATCTACCTTTAATACTTTCCGATTGATACAACGTATATTGGACATCAAAATCAATACATTATATTGTTTTCATTTTCTCATTCTCCAACTATGTAGGGGACAATGTGGTGGTGACAGGTGGCTTTTTCCGGGACGTGCTGTGGTTCAGTGTGGACTGGGTCAGGATATACCAATGTGGGAACCAGCGCTGGGTGGATGGGCCAGCCCTGCAGAGGTCCAGGCACAGCCACTGCTCCATAGGGCTAGACTCCTCACTGTATGTCCTGGGGGGCAGCAGGGACGAAGGGCTTATGGCCGATGTAGAGAGGCTAGTGCTGGGGTCAGAGGAGGGCTGGGATGAGGTCAGCCCCATGGTCAGGTCTGTGGAGAGGGCAGCCGCTGCTGCCCTGGGCTCGTGTATCTATGTGGCGTGTGGCTTGGATGAAAACGGGGAGGTGTATGGTGGAGTTCAGAGGTACACGGTGAAGAACGACCAGTGGGATGTGGTTTCCTATTCTCCGTTTCCAAGGTGAGTGAATTTTCAATTTAGCGCACTCTTTTCGGGGGTTGCTTTCTGACAGATTCTGAAACTAATATTTCTTAATTAGTACGTTGTTGTTTTCAAAATCGATTCTCCTATCAAGCCCTTGTTATATGATTTCTTCTTCTTTTTTTTTTTTTTGGGATACCAGATACGACCTGGTTGCCTCAGAGCTGAACGGTGCCCTTTACCTGTTTGGAGGCCAAGCCATGCGTTTTGACGCGGAGACAGACGAGTGGACCGCGCTGAAGGAGGAATGCCTGGACAGGAAGTTCTTCTGTGGCTGCGCAACAATCAGCGGACAGATGTACCTGGTCAGCGAGAGGAAGAGTAACAAAGCGTTTCCAAACATGGTGCTTGTGGACCCCTACATAGATACTTGCATTGAGGTGGATGACGCCATACCGTGCCCCGTGCCGCTGAGAGGGTGTGTCACCATCAGGATGGCCACGTGATGTGACTGACCTACTCAAATCTATTCTACTATCTATGATTGAGACTTACAGCAAAAACATGAAAAAAACAGCAGTACTAACTTCTTAAATAGAAATAATTTATTAAAACCTTCCAGCAGGCCAACATATCAGAAAAAGCATCCATGTGCACTCACAAGAGAATAGTGTGCAGTGTGACTTTCATGGAAAAGGGATGTTACTATAGGTTTTATATCTATTAAAGTAACACTGATATTTTAGTGTGGGTCATGGGTTATTCAGTGAATCAGCCCTTTTAGTGAATCCCACTCTGCCTCAGTTATTCAGAGGCAGACACAATCCAGTTTCTACTTTACTGTCTAATCCTGAAACTAACCCATGGAAATTAAACATCTGTTTTTTGAAATTAATGAACTTCTGTGTATACTGAGAGTGTACTTTCTGAACACTATATCTGTTAATTAAGGAACTTGGAGTTTGGAGACAGCTGAAATACACTGAACCATGTCTTTCAGTGTTTAAATTCATGTTCAATGCCACTAAATACCCTAAATGGTACGCACCGGCCTTTATGTGAGCCATAAAGCATTGAACCTTAGTAAACTACTCCTCACATTTGCGTAACTTTCATGCCATACTTGTTCACCACCAAGTACCAAATATCAAAACTATTCACAGACTACGGTAAAAACAGCAGGCAAGGCACAAAGCAAACAGCCAGTGGTTCAGACCTTGACAGAAACCTTGCTGCGAAATCATGCTGTCACAATGATATTCAAAGTAGAAAAAGAAAAACACAGAATCCATATTTCTATGAGCAGAAATATTTTGTAAAGGCATCATTTTAGCAGACAAGATATATTCTTATTTGTACACCAGGAGGCGCCGTAACTCTTTTGAAAATTGAGCACGTACATTACCGACAACATCAAATCAAAGAAATCTGTACCTTGATCCCGCCCTCAGGGACTTTTCACATTCTGCCACAGAGTACATCAACATACAAACTACCTGGTTCATAAAAAAATATAAAGTGGTTTATCAACATATTTACTGAACATATATTCTTTACAACCAGCCAAACCGTCCGTGTATGTGGAAACAAAGCTGCAGGAGTGAATACTATTCAATTCTAGTTTTAAGTTGCTCTCATTAAAACGTCATCATAACATGTATTAGATAGGATCAGTTTGACTTTGTGTAAAACATTTGGAATTCCTTGTTGACCAAATAAAGGATATAAGCTTTACTTTAAGGTACATAATGAATTCATTAATATCATAATAAAAAAACAACATGATTACAAAATCTGCAAAAACCAAATGATTTGTTGTGAAGGATATTTCCCTTCCTGCTTGTTTTGCCATCGATACTGTATGTAGTGGAAGTAGCCTGCCCACCGGGTGAGCAGATCTACAATCCTCTGTGCTTCTTTGCTCTGTTTTTTCATTGAAGATAATCAGGAATCATGCATGTCCTGTTTGGCCAATGGACCGTGTTGGGTTGGACACAAGCCATGTGCATGTATCATATATTGGAAACAACTTATTCTTCGATAAGTAGGAGGGCAAACGATTGTTTTTTCCCTAGCGAGGATCAGTCAGCGTGGAAGTACGCGACTCCACTATCTAGCTTTGCGACTCTGCGCTCTGCAGTTTATTTTCCTCTGGCTAGTCAGGTTGTTCAGGACACAGTTGTTAGCCAGCGATGCCAGTTTGCAGTTGATTGCGCCCTTTCTTTGCTTCCTGCTCCCTTCGTCTCCATCTTCCTCGGGCGCTTCCTCTTCATCGTCAACCTCACTTTCGTCCTCACTACGTTCATCGCGCTCCACCTGTGACGAAAGAAAAACAAGTAGTATAGAATTCCCCCGGAGCGAAGGCAACTCACAGCAACCTTCCCTTTTAATTTGCAATCCTCTCACCTTGCCCAGGAACACAAACTTGTAAAGCATACGCAGGATCAGATAAGCCCAGAAGATGTGCAGTGCTTGCAGCACTAACAGAAGGGTGTTGAAGAAATAATAACCAAAGAAGGGCTGGAAGAATTCTAGAGACAGCACCAAGGTTGTGTGGACCACTCTGGAAAGCAAACAGTAAGACGGAGCTTTGGTGATGGTTCTCTTCAAAGGGTTAAGAGCACTTTGACCACTTGAATACTGTTTATCAACTCTTTGCTTGGGGACGGTAAATCTTCTGCTCTCAGGTAGGAAACCAGAACACACTGAAGGTGGCAGAGGATTTTGTAATAAAACTATTTGTGTAAAAGCTGACGCAGTGTTGTAAACCCCCGATGACCCCAGCAAAAAAAAACCTGGTGACGCCTAAGTTTGAGGCTGTGTGCAACGCAATGTGCAATGTGTACATAGTATTCCAACATGACATTTTGTACCTGCCAGGAAACACCACCAGCCTGGTCACCAGGAACGCCAGAGCGAAGACGACAAAGAGCGAGTCACACGTCCTCGTCCAGCCGGCGTAGTGAAACATCTTGGCAGACTTTCAGAGGAAAAGTTGCCGTTGAGTTATCCAATCCAAACTATTTTACACGTAAGGTTAATCCCTGCATTCAATCCCAGGCTTTCTCTGTTATTGTTTCTACAGCGAAAAAGCACAGAAACTATCACAAACATTTACTCAAAGAAAAAAGAAGAAATGTGAGAAAAGTATACATATTATCACGTGAGTGGCCGGACAGAGATGAATTAAGCCAGACAATGAAATCCACAATATAATTACATCTCTAATATACCAAATGAGTTCCCTTAACACATTTCCTGCTTTACAGGAGTTTCTGGCTGAATACAAACCCAAAGATATCGCAAAGGTCATTGTTTTTTTTTTTACCAAAACACAACAATCACGTCCACACAAAAATTACACAATGGCTCTATCCGAGTCAGATTCCCTGTGGCTTTTGGCATTTCAACACCTTGCCTGTGAGTAAACACAATCCCCTTAACTTGCAATACATTCTGTCCTTTCCTTCTCTCCAGAGAGAGCGTGTGGTGGTTTACCTCGAGCAGGAAGTCAGAGGAGTCGTGCACCAGCATCACCAGAGTGCCAACCCTCACATAGTTGGCGCAGTAGGAGAAACCGATGAGGAACACGGTGGCGATGTGATGAATCACCTGCTCCTTGAAGTCCTGGAAGGCACACATGGACACAAACACACACACACAGACCACAAAGTGTGAAGAAGATGCATAGTCGTCGTTACCAAGTCTTTGGTCTGCGGTCCTGAGTCGGTCATGAGTTGTGTCCAAGTATTGGAAAAGCAGATGTACAGTACATGTTGTCTGGAGTGATTTCTTGTTTAGTTCGAAGCTCATATATTTTGATTGGCACCTCGGAGGCTGAATCATACAAAACCTTTTTCTCACTGAAATAAGGACATTTCTAAGTAAGCTGCAGCAGTAAGCATCTCAGATGGTTTCCTTAAGACGCAAAAACATGACAGATGAATCACATTCAATATTTAATGTAATTTATAGTATTTTAGAGCACATATAAGAAAATTAGCATTCCTTTGTATAGGTGCATCTTATGTAAATGCTTTTTTTAACTTCATTGTATTTTACTGTTGGTTCTATAAAGATAAAGTAAATACTATTAATCCTCACACTCACTTTTCGCTTGACGTCCACAGACACGCACAGAAGTAGCGACAAATAGAAGCCCAGTTCCAAGATGTAGTACCAGTAATGAGCCACAGCCACGGGCTACAGAATGAGAGGAAGACAGAAAACACGAGTCCATATTGAAAGTTTTGTGGTATGTGATTTTTTTAAAACTCAACAGTTTCTGAAAAAATAGATATATTTTAAATAGTTGTCTAAGAAGCTAAAAGACCAGAATCGACTACTATTTCACGGTGACTTCAGGATGTGTGTGTAGGGGGAAAGAATTGAAGGCTCCGGGGTTATTTACAGTGGGGACGTGCTTGTGTTTCTGAAGCTCCCGCACAGACAAAAACTTCTTCGCAGCAACACAATGGTAGGAAGCGGACTGTGGCCTGTAACCCTCGTATAAGCATCCTTTCTTTCTGTCAGATGCCTCAGGATCTCCGGAAAAAGGAAAAAGATCAGCTGGTGTGAGGCCTGCAGGAGCTGTTCTCTGTACGTAGGAAGGCTGACCTGCCATCAACACTTCAGAGATATAAGCTTCACCAACTCAGTAAGTGGGTGTAGTATACTGATAAAAAGGTATTGTGGAAGTCTTATGTGGTCTTATTTTGTCGGGCTCCTCCGAGTTGTTATTTCTCCTAATCCCTTTTTTTAAAGGTGTTAGTGTACGTCGCACTAGTTGATTGATTTTTGTAGCGTTGTATACAAGCATTTGATCTGTTCAGCTGTTGATCCGGACCCTTTTCTGCTGTATCCAAATAAAAATACACCAAGATATCAAGCCTTTAAAACAAGTTCTTGCTTTTTCTGGAATGAAGGAAAAAATAGCGAGAAATCTGATTTATGAGGCCCCGCTTCCTCTTGAAATCCTGCCTGACAATGTTTTACAGTTCATAGCGACACCATAGACCACCTGAGCTTCAAGTCAAGCGTGTTCTTGCTCACCTGTTTGGGGTAACCCCTCCAACACTCTCTATGATCCCAGAACCACGGCGTCTGTAAGATCACACAATCATCACGGTGAGTGTTCACATGCTATGTGTCATGTTTACTATGCATGCTAAGCGTTCTCACACAGTATAAATACCTGTAATGTGTAAGTCAGGCTGATCCTTTAAAAGGAAATACAGGTGACTTACAGACTCACATTAATTAAAGAGCCGAGTCCCGCAGTGAAGGATATGAGGTAGAAGACAAAACGCCAGCTGCACAGATACAAATGAACAACATCATTTGTTAGAGGCTACAGAATCCAGTAAATTGGTGAATTAGCTCAATCGGGGAGACGTTGAGGAAATGTACACATGAATGTGAAAGGTTCAAGTCCAACACACTAAATTTCACTGTTGCATTTCCCATTTGAAAAAAAATAACAATATGTAAATATGTGTGTGTGTGTGTTTAGGAAAATAAAAACGCACGAGGCCTCGCAGAACTTCTTGGTGTTGCTCGGCCGGTCCTGGTTCCTTCTGTGTCTGAACCAGGTCTGGATATTTCTCTGAGAGATTCCACACTGCTTCCCCAAGCTCACCGCCTCCTTCTGCATACACAAAAACACAAACACACCTATTTACACATTCAATATTGTTGCACGCAGGCCGGCTGAGCAAGGAAACCTCCATTTATTTTAATGACTCCATTAGGGCAAAACACCACACATGTCTTTTTATTTATTTCCATTTTAACATGTTATGTCAAACACTTTTGTGTTGAATTGAGGGATGGCGCCAGCAATACTCAAAAGAGTTGTACTGTACAAATAAATATCATCCTACCTTTGCACCTGTGTCATGTCTTTGTGACCCGGTATTTACATACATGCTTAACTACAAAGGCAACATCCAGGTGCCACTAGTGCGGGTGCTGGACACATGGAAATGTGTTGTGCAAATTACTCAGGACATACACACTTGCACATGAACAGCCCCACATACGTTTGGACGTTCTGTGATAATAGTAATAACATTTTGCAGGGGGGGAAAAATAGATATTTTAGTTTCTCTGCATCTCATGGCCAATGATCTTTGAACCACATTAATCACAAGGCTGCAGTGTAAGTGGTGTTTTTAATCCCTATTCTTGACAATTACAAATACAAAAAATGTAAATGATGTGTAAACTGCTGCATTATTTGTGCAATACAACTACTTGCAATCATAGTATAATTGCGCTGTGTATTATGTGTTTCACAAGCATAAACATGCTTACAACTCCTTACTTTTTACTATTGGTCAGAATGCATTCTTGACTTAAAATTCTCATATAATATTTTGTTTTAGGATGACTATGTAGCCAGGTACTATAAGATTTTCTACTAGTCTGTATATAACAATGAACTGACCTGGTGGGCTGATCAAAATATAGATTCAAAGATTTAGATTCGATTGAAAATCTAGGAAGTCAAAATCATTTCTGCAAACTAGGTTCAGGCGTTATGAAGCATTGGAGAGAAAATAAGGGCATAAAAGTCAACAAAGCATTACTGCTGCTCTTCTCGTAAAGATCGAAGGCTAAAAAGATTTTATTGAGGAAATCCAACTGAAGGTATAAAAGTTGAAGGGAAGTAAAACATGATTTGAGGATATTCTCTTGTAACAAAGGGAAGGCAGAACTGATGTACAAACTTGCAAAGGTTGACGACTTGTCTGTTTGTAGAAGGTCTCCAGCTTTGGGACAGAATCGGCTTGAATCCGAATACGGTCCTTCACACCCAAATGTTTGCTTAACGGGAGAGCAATGAGCCTGAGAGCAAAAGAGAGAAAACAAAATAGGGGGAAAAGCTGAAACCCGGGATGATCACATAAAAACACACCCTTTCACCTTCAAGCGACTGATAGACCATAAGACGTGAGCAACACCTTCATAACTCACTGTCTTCCACAACAACTAACAAACAGTCAGACCACAAGCTGCACACCTGCCCACCCGTCACACTGGTGCATGCTGGTACTTTACATACCACCATTCAGGAAATCTTATTTGACTAAAATGACAGGCAGCCCTGCATTTCAAAAGGCAGAGTCCATTCCGTCTGGGAGGAGCGAAGCCTTTCACACAGTCAGCAGCTAAAACTGTCCACTCATGATGCCTGCTTTACACTGCCTGTCTGGTCCGTTCACTCCATCTGCCGAGTGCACAAATGAAGGGTAAAGGAGCTGTCATGCTGAGCTACACAGGCAGCACATCAGCCAGCAACCACAACCACTTCCAAGAGGAAATAAGATGCACACGATGTGTTTAAACATTTCACTTGGGGATCGACTCAATGAAAAACTAAATCCAAGATCAGCACAAATATTGAAAACTTAGCGAGTTACTTACAGTTGTCCAAGTCACAGTTACGACAACAATGAAAAGGTAGATGTTGCAGCTGTGATTTTCCCAGTGCAGTGCGGGATGGAAGCAGGTGTGTCTCACCTCTCGAAGATGAATCTGAGGGCTATGAAGGCGAAGGCCAGTGGTACGGTGTAGACGAGATCTCTGGGTAGAGGAAAGCGGCCTTCGTCCTCCTTCATCTTAATGTCCTGCCAGGTGACGCCAGGAGGAAGCCAGGACTCCTCCTGCCACAGCCACTCATTCAACAGGGCCTCCATCCTGAGGGGAGGAGAACCGTGTTTTAAATGGGAACATTTGTCGAGCTTCTGAGCAAACCCGACCCGCTAAAACATTAATGCCGTATTCATTTTCACGTCACAAATAGCAGCCCAAACCCTCCAGATCAGGGAACAAACCAACATCCTGCATGTTCACACATGTTTACACAATCGTAATCTGCGCTTTGTTTATTAAATGTTCTTAATTGCTAAATTGCTTTAACATTAAAACACGGCACAAAATAGGGGGGACGTGCCACGTTATAGCAGTCTGCCTGCATAACAGAACACAAGCCCGCCATTTAAGCCTTGATACACGCCGCAGTCCCTGCAAGTGTTCTAACAAGACCTGACCAACGCAGCCTTGATGCACGAGCGGGTTCAATACTCCCAAAATTGCACTCACACGCATGCGCACGGGCAACTGCATGCGTGAACGCACACGCATAAACACAAACGCGTACACACTAACAGACAGAAATACGGTTGTGCGATCGCGACGCGCCAGATGAACCCCTCAAATTACAGGGACGGGTCACGTATTGAGCGCGCGCCGCATACTATCCATACCATTCCCATGAAGGCATCCCACACCTCACAGCTACAAGCCCCATCAACCAACAGCCAATCTATTTATTCTCATTTATCGATTCCCTATTTCCCAGAAACTCCGTAAAAACCGCTGCATTGATGCTCCAGAAGAGAACATGAATTGCGGTTACCTGTCCGTCCTCCAGCGATGGAGATGGAAGCGCACAGCAGCAAATGGGAGAGGAGGAGCTTGTCTGACGCAGCCTGCTCCTCGCGCTCAGTCATCGACGTCATCTCATTGGTTTATGTGTGCCCCCCACTCTCCCCCTGCACAGGATAAGAGGTGGTCATTTCTTACGGACAAAACACCTACCAGGCAGTGGTCATGGGTTTAGGTTTTGTTGCATGGTGTTATGCTCTGTTGTGATAATCCTAAACATGTGACTTCAAAAAAAGATCCAAAAAGTTGAAAAAAAAAAGGTTTTTGCAGAAAATATGGGAAGAAACTCATAGCAGGCTGAAATATTGATATTAATATTTGCATTTGCTGACACGTGAGGAGAGGGAAATAAATTAAGAGATTGGAGAGCGTGTTTTCACCAAGGATTTCTGTTATTTTTTTTAAACATCTGAAAAGATGATACATACTGTACATATGTTTCATTCTTCAAAGTATCTCATCATTGAAGAGTGCATCAAATAATTAGCAAAACACTAAACAACAGAGATGAATAGAGGAGATTACATAGTTGTATAAGGATTTTGCAGAACAACTGAGAAGAAAACAATTTTTTAATTCTTGACATTGCATTCAATGTTTTATGCGACTGGGTGAAATCAGACTTCCCGGTGGGAATATGTGCACTCTGTGATATCATTCGTTCAGCTGGTAGCTTTAACAGACGTGCTCACATGATGCTGGTTTTCATACCAATCATACAAAAGGGAGGGGCAGTTGTTTTCGTGGCTATACAGTCTCCTTTCAAACTCAACCATGAATCCTGTCAGTTCGGAGGCAGGTATGGGAGATTTAATGAATTATATAATTTGCATTCATATAATGGACAGTGCAATTTGTTTTGCTTCACTTTGCTTTGTTTTACTTTACTGGTAAAATCCCTGTTTCTTCTCACGCAGGGATTATTCGTGGTCCCGGATGACTGCTGTCACATATATTCCAATCATTCACAACAAAATGTATATAAATATGTACATGACTGCGTCACACACTCTCTAACCCCTTTAAAAATCACAGAAAGGAAGTAGAGGGTCTTATTCCTGTTGCCCGTATACACAGACAATGACCGGCATATTTGCCCCCTCCCAGTTTTTTACTCTGTATGTCTAGAGGGAAGTGCCTGAGAGACATTGAATGCAGAAAATTCACTTTTACTGTTGATCTGTGGCAGCAGATTCTTGCCCCCACCACCACCTGCCTTGTTCCCTTTGTGGATGCAGGACCACTCTGTTGAGCGGACCGCTGTGCTCCACCTGCGCTTGTGGGGTTTACAGCGTGTTATTTGCTTTAATTGCGTAACAGTGCCTGTCTCTCTGCGTGTGCACATAGTTCTCTAAACCAGCATGAGTCTTTCCTTCTTTTGGTTGCAGGATCTGTTCAAGTCTAAGCGTGTGCACATGCGCAGGAGTTGAGATTGATTCAGACGGACCGTTTGGCTGATGGGGAGCTGAGATCTTTCTCTTGGCGGGATATGAGATATGTCTCCCCGGCCCTGCCACAGGATTAGTTACACACCATTGTGTTACAACTGCGCAACAGAACCAGAACAGCATTCTGGTTGACGTGTTGCCATATAAACCCTGCAGTGAGGACAGGGACACTTTCCGTTAGCTTGGTGAGTTCTGCTGTCACTGCACGTTTGTTGGGTTGGCGAGCTGTGGAATTTTTCCACATTCCAGAGGTAACACTTTTTTATGTCGTACCTAAAGCCTTATGCTTTTCTTGTATTCTCACAGAGCCCAAACATGCATGTAGCCTTACCTGCGTTTATGCACACATATGTAATTGCAGTTCTATAATCTATCTATAAATCTATAAAACATTATTATATGAGTATCACCACAAGTGGAATGTAGCAGGCCTGGGCTAATAGCAGGTTACCCTATTTAGTGGATGGACATTAAACACACACACATGAGGCTAAACATGTTTTTAGGATTTTAAAACATAAAAAAAATCACAAATGGAAAAACAACTCGATGTGCTGGTTTTTAAACTGTCGCCGTATGATCTATCGAGTGCATGGTCTTCCCCTCGATGCTGGTGTTGGTGTGAGTTCGTGCTCAGATGAGCCTGTGAGTGAGTAAGTTCGAGCCTTTGCGTTGGATGATACTCTGTATAATGAGGAACATTGGTGCCAAGATGAGTGTGACAACCGCAGACTTAATTTCCTGTTTCCTGTACAGCCCAGCAGGTAAGGTGACAAATATAAATTGAATGTGAAAATAAGGAGTAGTTGAGATTAAGCTTTCTCTGCATGTCTAAGTGAATGCAGCTTGACAATAGTTTAGCAGGTCATAAACCAAATGATTAGACTTCACGATGGCGCCTGGAAACCTAAAGTCATTATATAATTCATTCAGATTTTCTGAAATGTTCTTGCATTTGTTGATGAGGTTTCATTTGACACAACAATGTGGTGCGAAAAGTCACATGGTCACAGTCTTTAATAGGACTCCTCCTCTGGGAGCCAGAAGCGGCACGGCAATCCATCCAATTTCCCTTTGCATCAAAGTTTCCGACAGACAGACATAATTTTTCATCCATAGGGCAACTGTGCGTTACTGTTGCTAAAACCCCCCAACAACCGACATGTTAATCTACATCCGGCGACCTTTCCCCTGGCTTTGCAGGCTTTAGAGGACTTTGAGGACCTTGAGCAGTAGGGGCCGAGAAGGCCTCTCCAAGACCCCTGGTTCTTAGCTCGGTGCTGCTCTGTCTGGGCCAAGAATAACACAGCCGGGGAGGTGGGGAATGTGCACAGGAAACCAGCGCTTTGCAGCAGCAGTGGCGGCTCTGGAGCCGAGGACTCAGATAGAGCGCAGCCACGATTCCGTGAAGCACAGACACGCTGCTTTCCCACAGGACCCCGAGTGGGAATTACAAGCGTGCGCAAGAATTCACCTATTAGCTGTCTGTCTGGAGCAGACATATTTCCACGGGTTGCACGTACGACGAGGTCGAGTTTCATCCAATTTTCTCATTGTCTTTATTTCTCTTTCATAAGCACACAGTCTCAAGTTCTCTCTGACTTTTGACCGTCCCTGGCATCCTGTACTCCTGCTCCCCTGCCAGCTGTTGTATGGCTGCCGACACAACAGGGCCTCTGTTCTCTGCTCCCGGTGGAAGAATGCATGCTCTCTTTCTGGTGTTTCCCCTGTTACCTCCTCTATCAGTGTGTTTCCCGGAGCATTCTCGAGCTCTCCACTGTTGATTCTCATTCTTCTGTTTGTTGATTTTGGCCTCAGTTCTTCTCACTCGGACCCCCGGAGTGAAGCCAGTTAACTCTCCAGCTCTAAGCTTTAAAGACAACAGTGCAAAGGCCCCCGATTCTATCTGAGAACAGACTGACACAACAACTCGAGGCGCACAGTAACAGTGGTGGACCAGAGGTCATTTCTAACCAAATTCCTTCACTCAAATAAAAGGTGATACCACTTTATTCCAGCAGAGGGTGCCAGACATCACAGTATCTGCAGATGTCCATCTGTCTGCAGTCAACAGTGAATGAATGGTGAACACTGATCTAAACTGCCCTGCTGTAGACAAAGAACCCGCATCAGTACAAATAATTATTTAATTAAACTTAAGGGATGTTCTGCATTAGTTTTAACACTGTAACTTCATAATAATTCCACACTTTTGTGAGTGTGGGACTTTTACTTGTAATTACATATTTTTATTTTATTTTTTTATCACGAGTAACGGATCTGGTGACTTTTTTCCAATCAAACTGGGAGGAGATCACAGTATTCACTTGCCAGATGCATATCAGACTTAAAAATGTATGCAAAAGGATCCTGTTGTCCACATTGTAAAGATTTAACCTTTAACCTTTTAACTAATGAGGACACCTCTGTCAAACTCTCATATATTGCCAACTGAGAGCTACTTACTCTTTACTCTTTTAAAAACTTTGAACTGCCCTCACATACTTAATAATAACTTCCCGCTTACTTCTTCGGTATGCAGCTTTCAGAGCTTAATAACTAAAAAAAAAAACAAGTAGGCTTTTCCAGTTTCTTGGAGTGAAATGTATGCTTTTAAAATATTTAGTAATTTAGTAAATTAGAGTAAATTCCAATCCCTCTCTCATTTCACTTGTGGTGTGCACACCACACCCTTCAAAGAAAATCAAGAAAAGTAATTAATCTACTAACAGTGCCTAGTTTTCCTAATAGTTCATTTCTGCTGCGGAAGCAAGAAGACGTGACACACGCCAAACAGCTGCTTATGAGCTCTGTAAAACGTACATTTCCATCTTGGCGAGGTAAACATCATTAAACTTCAAGTAGGAAGTTGGATTGTCAAGTATAAAGTCAGCCTCAAAGCCTCTCGCACCCACCTGTTTATGGCCTTAATTAACGGGCAAACTTCAAGTCAGATGGAGGCGATGTCATCGGTTGTCCGGGGGAGGGGGGGTCAGCCTGTCATAGCTTAGCTCTGGAAGCATTTAAGAGACCCTGAGGTCATAACACATAACCTCCTAAAGAACCAGCCAACGCTGAGTATTGGCATCGTTGTTTGACGATAATAGGACGCGGTATTAGAGGTTATTAAAGTAGAGGCGGTAAGAAAAGGTGGAATTCAGTCTAATTTAATTAGTTTTCTGAATGTAAAATTGCTCATTTGTGCATGTGCAGGTGTGTCTTCTCAGTGCCAGAGGGGATAGAAAGACAAAAGACATTCTCATTCCGTAAAATGATCATTCTTACGTTCTTATTTCTCTAATTCTATTCTATTTCTAATCTGAACCATATTTGCAAAGGGACAAATAAGAACATGAAGTGAAAGACAATGTTCTGAAAACAGAACTATATTACAATAACAGCAACAGCAAAGAACAAACCTGAGTCATGTAGCATTTGATAATACTTAGTATTGTTTATTTCAAGAAACATCACTGTAAACACAGATAAAAG